TCACCCCCCCTCCTCCTAGTGGCAAATTGTTTTGACCAAACTGAGTCTTGGCATCGAATATGCAATGGAAAAGTCATTACACTTGTTGATAGACTGAGAGCCCGTGAAACATGAACTAAGCAACTCGGCAAGAAACATCTGGCGTCGTTTATCGGATCTGGTGCAGTTAAGGACGAAGCAACTACGTCGGAGAAACTGGGAGACCTCTACTGACACGAATTACCGGACATTCAGCAACAGTAAGAAGAAATAAAGCCAACTCTCAATTCGCGACGGAATCCGAAACGTCAGGCGAATAAAATTTATGTCCTGGCGATCGCATCTACTCCATCTCAATCAATTTGACCTTTTGTCGGTCTGTGCCGCAGTGCGGTCTAGATGAAAGTAGGTTGTGGTTGATGATCAAAGGAGCCTAGCTGCCACACCTTATCATACCTGTCAGATAGGTGGACTCTCATATGAACTCACTACCTACACTGCATTGGCCTCGAACTCCCACCCTCTATAACCTTGGACCACACCTCTGTATTGCCTAGCGGCTTTGCTAGCCTCTCTTCTGTGGTCGTCGCCATGATACCCCGAATTCTCTGCATCTTTCTCGTATCTGCAACAATGAATCCACACCTAGAGCAGTAAAATATTATGGACAAAGACATTAATTTCTCGCAACTTACATTGGAAACGAAAAATCTTGCTGCGTCCAATCGTACATACCCTACATAAGTACACTAACGATTCAGCGAGCGGAATTATATTTCCTGAGGCCGAAAAGTGGGATCACTCCTAAAGGTGGATATCCTTGTGACGACAATGCACATCATCCCTAAACCGTACATGCAGTTCTGGAAGCCTTCACTATGTTGATAAATTCCGGTCGCTGATAATAAAAGCTACAATGAGGGCAGAATAAGCCATTCTATCCAGCAAAGAGGAGACTGCGATCTTTTCAAAGTCAGGTTTGTTCAATTCAGGCATTTCATGATGTCTTTCCAGCGGCGTTATGCTGTAATGTGAGATAAATTAGGCAGATTTGAGTCATAGCAAGGGGAAGATTGAGAACGTAAAATCAGGGGTTTATTTCGAAGGCCAAACAGGCGAATCCAGACCCAATTTCTTTTAATTATACCAGTCAGAAAAATTGGTTTTGGCACTGCTTTACTTAGTCTTTCTAAACTCGTAAATCACATGGTTTATTTTGAGTTTCATGAAATTTTAACAACATTTACCTACCATTATTTCATTTTGCAAACAGCAAAATTTAGGTCATAGGTTCGTACACGACCAAAACCAACCATTGGAGTAATTTAGGAGGGTGCTTTGTGAAACTGCATTCTAGTAAATTCATTCAAGGTAAAACAGAGCAAAAATAAATTAATTTTTCTACACCAAAAACAGCCAAGTTGGAGAATTCTATATAGGGTAAGGTAAAGACACTTGTCTGGTTTTAAAGAGAATACAAAAACTAAAAACCGTGGAATTGCCCCAGGTTTTGTTGCCGTCGGCGAAAATTTCACATGGAAATTTACGGAGTATACAGTTAAGGTTTTTGGCACAAGTCTGGAGCAAGAAATGAGTAATCTTCACTTGACAAGCTAGCATAACTGTATTAAGCTGTAACCAGCACTTTTGAGACATTGCACCAGCAGTCGGTGTTTTGTGTCTTGTATCAAAGGGAATTGGAAAAAACTTCATAGGTGACCAACTGATTCTCAAATGTCGAAATAACGGTTTGTATTGTGAAAAATTCGCTGTCTTTTACGAAAAAAGCTCTGTGTTTTTCTAGCTGTATTCAGCCTCCTGACCGAGTTAATTGCGTATCAGATCATTTGGGTCGTAGACAGTGGGAATTCAAACAGATTTGCCGTAGTCACTCATATCACCAGAAAACTATAATCCAAGTTAAAGAGAGAAATCGGTCTGGTGATATTAACTCAGCCCAGTTATTAAATATTCTGATGACGGAAACCGTCTGATATGAGAAGAAAGCGTCTGTTATATCCTGCGGTACGACATTACCGACGC